TGATGCCCCAACCAGCCATTTCTGGAGTGGCGACTGTCAGGTGCCTCCCAAAAAGCAGTCATGGTGAGGACAAGTAAAGAACGCTAAGAGTCTGGGGTGGGGGCTGTCAGGCTCTGTCTCTACCCAGTGCACTCTCCCTCTGCCCACTGGATATCCTCCAACCAGTGCTGGGAGGCAAGAGGCTGGGACTGTCACCTTGACAATACCCAACCCCACAGAAGACAAGATTAAACTGCATGAAACACAATGACATAATTGTTTTACATTGTTACTATACCAAATGATCCCATACTCTCCTATGCTCCCTTCTCTCTCCCTCTTGCTTTATGTAGCTAACATCACATAGAATTGGCTAAGGATGCCAATTCTAGAGCCAAAATACCTATATTTAAGTTCTCCATCCTGATCCTGGATATGTGATGTGGGACAAATGATTTAGCTTTCCTGTGTTACAGTTTCCCAGCTTGCTTATTTGTAACATGAAGTTTTGGGGGGAGCTAAATGAGTTTGTTATAAGTATAATACAGCTGGAGTTGGAGAGATGGCTCAGCAGTTAAGAGCACTGACTGACTGCTCTTGCAGAGGATTGGGTTTGATTCCCAGCACCCACATGGCTGCTAATAACTGTCTGTAACTCCAGTTCCAGGCCATCTGATGCCCTCTTTTGACCTCTTTGGGTGTTGCATGTCATGGGTACACTTAAATACATGCAGGCAGTGCACTCATACACGTAAAGTAAAAATAGATAAAATATAAAAAAGATATATAGGTGGGTGTGGTGGCATACGCCTACAATACCAGCACTTGGGAGACCAAGGCAGGGAGATCACAAGTTTGAGGTCAGCGTGGTGTATATCGCAAGTTTAACGCTAACTAGTGAGACTCTAAGTATGTAAATAAATGATTGTTAAAACTTCAAATACATGGAACTATATTACTATATATAATTACATGGTCACTATTATTATTTGTAGTAGCGTAATTGTATTTGCTAAGAGCTCATTCCCTCACTGTAGTATAAGCTCCATTAGCACAAAGCTGCGTTGGGGCTATTCAATGCTGTGCCCTGGAACCTAGCAAAGTACCTGACAATTTGCAAACACTGAATAAATGATTATGGAACAAATGTGGATGGGAGAAAGGGGAAGACTGAGGAAAGGAGGAAAGGAGGGAGGAATAAGAAAAAGACTTTGGCTGTAGGGAATGAGCCTGAGGCCTGATTTTGACTTTGCCCTTTGCCCTCCTCATGTCCCCAGTTTAACTTCCGTTCACAGCCTTCTGCTGTGTGCCCTTCTCTGCACCCCCACTTCTGCTCTGACAATTCTCTGGATTCTGCCTGCCTCTCAGATCAGCTTTCTATAATCCTGAAGACTTGAATGACCCACTTAGAACAGGTCCTGCCACTGACAACAGGGCAGCCCCAAGGATTGGTCCAGCCCAGAGCCCAGAGTTCAGTTACTGGGCTGGGCTCACTGAGGCTAGGGGTCAGGGCAATAGGATGTTTCTGAAAGTTACCTGGTATCACTTCTGAGTCAGCCAGGGTTTGGGGGAGAGTAAAAGAGTAAGTTTGGGGGAGCTGAGAGAAAGCTCATCTGGGCTTAATGTGTGTGTCTCGGGGAGGTAGAATATGCTACCTCATCCTAGTACCAATCTCCAGGCAAATCTGGTCATGCAGCCTCCCCTGCCTGCTTTAGACAGAGCTGATGAACTGTGTTCACCAATGTTGGTGATTTCTTTTTTCTTTTTTTGGCCTTTTTGGGACAGGGTCTCCCTGTAGCCCCAGCTAACCTGGAGCTTGCTATGTAGACCAGGCTGGCCTTGAACTCAGAGATCTGCCTGCCTCTGCCTCCCAAGTGCTGGGATTAAAGGCATGCACCACAACGCCCAGCTGAAATAAAATTTATAAAATCTAAGGCTGGTTGGGCTCTCAGGCCGCCACTCCAAGGGAGGGGTTTTGGCATCCAGGAGAGGCCGGTTTCCCGCTCCCAGACAGCTGGCTGGCCCCTCTTACTTGTAAGGGTTGATGTTGCAGATGGTGACAGCAGGGAAGTCTAGCTTCTGGAAGTGGACTTTGATGGAGACAGAGACTGTGTAGAAAGAGAAGACGAGGAGAGCACACTGCCAGATAATGAGGGCCACTGCGGTCAGCGTGAAGGCGATCCACAGCAGGCGCCGGAGGCGGCCGCGGGACACCACGATGCGCCTGCAGCCGTGGGTGTTGGTGTTTAGGCAGTACCACTGCATCAGGTCCTTAATGGTCGGTGCCTGGGGGCCTCGCACCGGTAGATTCTTTTTTATTTTGGCTTTGATCTTCTCTCCAGGAGCCATGGTGAGGATGGGACTTTGCAGCCTGTAGAGCACTGAAGGAACAGAGAAGAGCAAGTGAGCTTGCAAGTACAGGTCCCTGGACGCCAGGGGCTGGGAAGCCTCTCCTTAAAGGCCTCCCCCTCTTCTGTGGGCCGGACAAGCAGCATTCTGAGCCTTTGGCCCCTTCTCCAGGATATTTGCTTTGGGTCACCACAGCTGCCTCGTCCTCTTAGGGCCCCCAGGCCTAACCCAGTGGAGGCTGGACGAGGTGTAACCTGTGCATACTGGCTGAACTGGCTGAAGGATCTTTCTCAGTGCTCCTGGGGCAGGTGCTCTCACAGCAACCCAGCCAGGCTTCTCTTATCAGGCAGCAGCACCATAATCCATGCCTTATCACTTTCTGTAGCCCTTCTCCTTGAAGCAGTCCTGTTTTATGATATTCCCTGGTGCTTAGCAAAGTGTCCCTCCTGCACAGAGCACACACTCAGCAAGGGTACTGGCTGATGAAATCTCCTAGGGTTTCTTAGGAGCTGCCATAGACCACTTTCCTAGCTGCTTTTTTGAAGAGAAATGATTTCTGTTTTATTTCTTTTCTTTCCAGTCAAATGTTAAATGCTTTCCAGAGCACTTGATACAACAGCCCTCAACAGCCTCAACTGTTGGCCACCCAATTTTCAACAAGTACGATGCCATATATCCTGATTTTAAGACATCATTAATTTGCAGAAGACACCTTGATTCAATACCAGATTTTGGGGTGTGTATTGGAAAGCAAATGAATGCATTCACCGTGTCTATGATGCATCTCAGTTTTAGAACATTACAGTGTGAGATATTCATTTTGGAAATAAACTCACATACTATACAGTAGATGCCTCTGGTGTTTATAATATATATATAGTCCTACCGGCTTCATAAATATGTGGTCTCTGTATATAAGTATACAATATTCCATATATTTCATTTCATGTTTCAACAGTTCCACAAGGTAGGTGTACTATCTCCATGTTAGAGAGGTGGAGTGACTTGCTCAATGGAGATCTACAGCATGGCTCCTCTGTCCTTGGGAGACCTTCGTGAGTCCATCGAGTTCTGTCCCCTTTTATTAATTTTTAAGTTAGCATACAAAATAGTGAGTTTCATTATGGGATTTTTCATATAGATGTGTCGTTATACTTTGTTCTATTTCATTGCTTCCCCATTGCATTCCCCTGTCTCCCCAGAGGCCCCCTTGCTGGTCCTCACTCTCCTCACAAATAATCCCCATTCTGCTCTCAAGTCACATATATTCTGTTACACATGCCTCCCCCTTTGCCTCCTCCTTTAAAATCTCCTTCTCCCCTCTCATGGTCTCCAGTGTAGTTTCATCATGCACACACCACACACACACACACACACACACACACACACACACACACACACACACTTAAATCTAGGTTCCGTGTATGAGAGGAAATGTCTTTCTGAGAATGGCTTATTTTGCTTAACCTAAATGATTTCCAGTTCCACCACCAAGTGGCCAGATTCTGGACCAGCAGAATTAGTTTCCCCCCATCCTGAATCCATGGAATATGGTCCAAAATTGGGCAAAGTGGCAGGGGAATGCTCTCAAGCTTATGGTGCTAGTGGGTTTAAAGTTTAGGATACAAAAGTGAGTACTAGGGTCAGGGGAGGGATGTTTGGGGGCAGCCAGACTGCTCCAACCTCCTAGACTTACATGATTTTTCAAGACTGAGAAAAACTATCTTTGAGCCTCAGAATTATACTATTAGTCTCTTGGCAAAACCAGTGTAATTTATGTGTTTTATCATCTTAAATATTGCCACCCCATCAAAAAAAATATCAAGAGTTTGTTTGTCTTTAAAGGGTAGGTCCAGAGTCAATTTCCTGTGTAAAACTGCAGCACTGAGATGGCTCCCTCCGCAAGATGTTTGCCAAGAGCCAGAGTCTGGAAGCTCCTGTTCCCAATGCCAAGTCTTCTCACTGAAGACAATTCTTGGGGGTTCCTCTGTCCATCTGTCCCTTCCCCAGGACTAACCCTGACCAGGAGGATCAGCCAGTAATGTCAGAAAGGCCTCCAGAATGCTCACATAGTTTTTTCAACCTTAAGGCAAAGAAAGATCATAGCTCCTACTAGTTTGTGGCGTGGCTTGCTTCAGTCTGCTGGTTTCATGGAAGAATTAGAAGCTGACACTCTGGACCCATTCTTCTATATGCATTACAGGTATTAGCTCACCAAATGCTCACAACAGCTTCCCTATTATACAATGAAACGGAGACACCCAGAAGCTAAGTAGCCTGTTCAAGGTCATATTAGAAAGTGACAGGGCTAGGATTTGAACCCAAGAACGTGCACTTTTATCTACTTGCTATGCCATACCTCAAATAATGATAGTGGAGCTGTCAGTGACAGTGGCAGCAGATGTCAGTTACTGATACACTCTATGCCCAGACATCCCATTCAATCCTTTTCACCCAACTTCTCACTACAGACTATATGAAGTGTCATTACTATGTCCAACCTACAGAGGTGTAAAGTGAGGTGCAAAAAGGTTAGGTAATTTGCACAACAACACCCAGTTTCAGTTGAAAGACTTGAGTTCTTTCAAATTCCAGGCCTCTGGTTCAGGAGACCTACTTTCTTCCTTCTCATTTACACATACCACAGTGAAAGAACTGTCAGCTTGGGGAGAGGTGAAAGGTTTATTCCAAGTCTGGGACGCCCTGGAGCTTGGGCAGACCAAGGATCTGTTCCAATTAGCGCCATGCATTGGGCTGTCCAGATTCAAGGACTCAAAGCCATGGGACAGAGCTACCTCCCAGACACGCTGCAGGCCCTGTCCGCCCCCATGCGGAGCAACCTGGGGCAGTTTTGTGTCCTAAAACCGGTTGTCCCCGGACAGTCTCCTGTGGCAGACTTCAAACCAGCCTGCTTCAAGCGCTTGCTTCTTTTTTGCAACAGCAACTCCCCAAAAAGCTTTCTAGAGACTGAAAGGAACAGTCGCGGTCAAGTGCATGCACTTCAAGGCTGGGAAGGGGATTGCACAGGTGCTGGGTGGAGAGAAGAGCCGAGACGCACCATCTCCACGCACACCAGCTCAGAAACGCCTGCCGTTCAGCTCTATACTCCCGGCCGGGGTCTGGGGAGAAGCAATGCTGGACCCGGAGCGCCCCGGGAAGTGTCTCAGCATCCCGCCATCCCAGACCGCGGCAGTCTGTATCCGGGAATTCACCGCGCCCCGGGCAGCTCTTGCTCCTGGAACCCGGAGTAGACAGACCAGACCCGGCTGGACTTACCTCTCGGTTCCGAAGGGATGGCGCTGGCGTGTGCACAGTCCGGGGACGCGCTTTGTCTGCTGGCCTCACTGTGCCAGCATCTCCAGGTAGCGAGGCCAGCAGCCTCCGCCCCGCCCCTGGAGCCCTCCCGCTCAGGCTCCGCCCACACCTGTCCAGGTGTTTTCCCCTGACGGTCCCAGGACTTACCGCGGCCCGGAACCCGCCGCAACCTAGCAGCGCCACCTACCGACCTGAGGCAGCTCTGCGCCTCCGCCCCATCTGTGCCCCGCTGGAGCATCGTCGCGCGTGCTTGCTGCCGCCCTGAGGCCGTGCTGCAGCCTGCATTCCCGAGGGTCTCAGCGCACCTTCCCCTCTCCCCAGATCACAGGAGCTCTCATTCCCAGTTCCAGTGAAATTCCACGCAGCCTCTTGTTCCTCTCCACTCGGGATCTGCAGCGTGAGGCTGCTTCAATGTCCTTCGAGTGGGCAGCAAGGGCTGTTCAACCAGACCACTCAACCTTTGGGCTTTTCAGCTGTCTTTTTATGGGGACTCCCGCAAAGGACTACTAGAAATAAGCTTAGGAAACCGAAGCCGAGAGGGACTGAAGACAGACACTTGAGTCAATCCCTTTGAGGTGGCAAGAAATGAGACCCCAGGGAGGGAAGGCATTAAAAAGCATTAAAATTTAGGCTTTAATGTGTTCATATTCACCTACTCAGTCGGTAGAATTGCTTGTCTAGCAGACAGGAAGCCCTGGCTTTGCCAGCGCTCAGGAAGTTGAGACAGGATCAGGAGTTCAAGGTCATCCTCAACTACACAGTGAATTTGAGGCCAGCCTGAACTATATAAGGCCCTGTTTCTGAAGGGAAGGAGGGAAGGAGGCAGTGAGGGAAGGAAACACAGACTCTGATCTTACAGAGTTACAGGTGGTTGTGAACCACCTGATGCAGGTGCTTGGGAACCAAACAGAACTCAGGTCCTCTACAAGAACAACAAGTGCTCTTAACTGCTGAGCCATCTCTCCAGCCTGGGAGTTTTAAGTATACACTGTTTTCAAATGTATTTTTACCTTAATGACATTTCATGGCCATATTCTCGTTTTAAGGCAGAGCTATGTTTTTTTGCATCCTGATGATGGGCAGCTTTCCTGGCCACTATGCAATGTACTTAAGCATATCACATAATTTAATTAACCAGTTTATCAGTATATTTATTGTCTCTAAATTTTCACTAATACAAATTATTCTTTGTATAAAATTTTTGTGTATGTATCTGATTGTGTCCTTAGAATAAATTGCTACTAAAGGGATTTTTTATGCTAATGCAGTTAACTCGGTTTAGTTGATAAAACACAGAAGAGCAGAGCATAAAAAATATATGTATATATATATATATATACACACATATGTATACACACACACATACACACACACACACACATATATATATATATCTTAATCCCAGCACTTGGGAGGCAGAGGCAGGCAGATCTCTGTGAGATTGAGGCCAGTCAGGTCTCATATTGAGTTCTAGGCCAGCTGGAGCTATACGGAGACCCTGTTTCCAAAAACCCAATAGATTATATCTTCATAAAAGCATGCTAAGCATACATGTATTAAGGCATATATGTTTAGAATAGAGGTTATTTCTCAGGGATGGTTGACAAGTGATTTTCACTGATCTGTGTTGCTTTTATGCCTTGCTTTGTTGAAATAGATACATGTTAGCTGGGCAGGGAGGCTCGCATCTGTAATTCCAGCATTTGGAAAGCTGAAGCATGATAATCAGCACAAGTATGAGGCCAGCCTGGTCTACATATCATGTTCTAGGTTATCCTGGGCTACTTTCTCAGTGTTTATGCCATTCTCTGCCTGATGTAGTGCCAAGATGGCTGCCCTAGCTCCACTCCATGCATGGGAATAACTGAGTCCAGCAGGACTAATGGCTCAAACACAGACTATAGGGTGAGTTCCGAACAGTCCTCACTGAATTTTGTCACCTTGCTTGTGGCCTGTTCCAGTCCCATATTGGGCACTATGATTAGCGTTATGGAAAGCATTAATGGGTTTCTTCATCTATTTTATGCTGCTATAAGAACACAGTCTAGGTAATAATATAGAAAACAAATATGGGGGCTAGAGAGATGGTTCAGTGGTTAAGAGCACTGACTGCTCTTGTAGAGGACCTGGGTTCGATTCCCAGCACCCACATGGTAGCTAACAACTGTTTGCAACTCTAGTTCCAGGGGAATCCAATGCCCTCTTCTGACCTCTGCAGGCATTGCATGACATGGGTGTACTTACATGCATGTAGGCAATGCACTCATACACATAAAATAAAAATAATAAAATATTAAAGAAAAGAAAAAAAATTCGTATCTTCCAGTTCTTGAGGCTGGAAGTTTGCTATCAAGGTGCTGGCTTCAGGGAAGAGCCTTCTTGCTTCATCATCTCATGATAAAAGGGCAAAGAAAAGATGAAAGATCAAGAGAAAAATAGCTACAGGTTCAAGTCCTCTTTAAAGCCATCACTAGTCCGTGAGTGTGTGGTCCTTATGGTCTTCTCTTAGGAACTGTTGTTTCCAATGCTGTGGCTAGAACCCAGGACCCTGAGCATGCTAGTTATGCTGTGCCACCATGTGGCATCCTCAGCTTCTGCAGTCACTTTTCAAAGGTTCCACTTTTTAACTTCCCTCGGGGATTGGGGGCTGTTGTAAACAGGAAAACACAAAGAAAAATGAGAAATTATGGTGTTATAGGGACTGTGATGGGTACCATCGAAATGACTCAGTTGTAAAGGCATTTGTTATCATGGCTGATGACTTCAGTTTGATACTCAGTACTCACATGATGAAAGAAGAGAACCGATTCCCCAAAGTTGGCCGCTGACCTCTACATTCAAGCCATGGCACATATGCATATGCACACATACACAATAAATAAATTTAACTTAAAAAATAGAGACTGCAATGAAAGGGACATGCATTTATAGTAAGTGCCCTGTTCATGTGCTCTGGGGACACATTCAAATAAAAGTAATTGGTATGGACTTGAACCATATGCCCCCCTCTGTGTAGAGCCAGTGTCTTTTAAACCATATGGGTTGAGAATGGGGGAAGGGATACTTCCCCAGAGGAAAGTCAGAGGAAAGTCTGGATTGTAAAAACTTCTGGTCCTTTATTTCCCTGCTTTTTTGCTCTTATTTATTTATTATTACTGTGCATGTGTGGAAGTCAGAGGACAGCTTTCAGGAGTCAGTTCTCTCCTTCCACCATGTTGGTCCTGGGAATTGAACTCAGGTCTTCAGGCTTGCTGGCAAGTATCTCCACCTGCCGAGACATCTCAATGGCCTACTTTCCCTACTTTTTCCTTTGACACTCACAGAAAATATCTCCATGAGATATTTCATTCCTCTGTCTTCTCTGATGCATCACTTTCTTTTAAAAAATATTTTATTGTTTTTATTTTATATGTATGAGTGTATTGCCTGCATGTATGTGAGTGCACCCGTGTCGTGCAATGCCACAGAGGTCAGAAGAGGGCTTCAGATTCCCCTGGAACTGGAGCTAAGGATGGTTCGTAGCTGCCATGTGGGTGCTGGGAATTAAACCCAGGTCCTCTGCAAGAGCAGTCAGTACTCTTAACCACTGAGTCATCTCTCCAGCCCCGCATTACTTTCTTTAAAATCACTTGTAACTTCTTTTTTATATTACTTAGAGAGTTTCAGCATCAGCATTGGGGTTCTGGGTCTTGGGAGGTTAGTTACAAGAAATAGCAGGAGATCTAAATCTCCTAGAGTCAGAAAGTCAAGGCTGTCTAAGGTGCTTTAGAAGAGCTGGTTAAGCTAAAACAAGGGCTTAGGTATAAGTATTGGAACCTTGGGGGATAAGAACTCTTTTAGAATGATGGCTTTTCGTTCTTGTGGGTATCATCTGTGCCAGTGGAATGGGAGGAAGGTTCTCTCTTCAAACATAATCTTTGAGTAATAAACTAATTGATTACTGGAGAATCAGGGCCAGAGTCTTTACACACACACACACACACACACACACAGAGTTCTCTCTCTCTCTCTCTCTCTCTCTCTCTCTCTCTGCTTCAGCCTCTGCCTTGTTTCATGGCATATAGGTGGAGGCAATTTTCAGAGGAAAAACTCAGTTCCTCTTGTTTGGCAACAGGTGCCTTTACATGCTGAACCACCTTACTAGGCCTGGAGCAGGGTCTTTTAAAAACATTTTGCTATTTATATTTTATATGTATGAGTGTATTGCCTGCATGTATGTAAGCGCACCCGTATTGTACAATGCCCAAGGAGTTCAGAAGAAGGTGTCAGATTCTCTAGAACTGGAGTCACAAACAGTTGTTAGCCACCATGTAGATGTTGGGAATCAAACCCAGGTCCTCTTCAAGAGCAGTCAGTGCTCTTAACTGCTGAGTCATCGCCCCAGCCCTGGACCAGGGTCTTTAGATTCACTCGTGTGAATGGCATCGTTATTTTTCTGATGCAACTTCTCTTGCGGAAGTGGACTTTAGGTGGTCAGCACCGTGGACAGCAGCCACATTGAGTCCTGGCTTCCCCTTTCATTCAGGAGGTCTCTAAAGGGATGCTGGCCATAAAACACCATTCACAATTTGAAGATGGATTCCATGAGAAGGATGAAGGAGTAAAACTGTCACTTTCCAGCCAGCCTATCTAGTCAATACATACGGAATCAACCACAGTGAAACTGCCTTTATAACTACAAAAGCACATCGGTTTTTTACTGTTCATTCTAGTTAATGTTCTATAAAGTTGCCAGACATTCAGTTAGCCAGAATGATCTCTCCTGAGTGAAATGTAGTCTTTTGTTGCTGAGAGCCCCTGGTGCACCCTGGTGAAGCATTTTCATAAACTAATCTGTACGTGAATTTGTTTTATGTGTTTCTGTTTAAAGCTTCCTTGTTTACAATACAGTTGATTTGCTCACATTGAACTCATGACCAACAGGAATATAACTTGTTCCCAAAATAACATTCATCTAATATATTGTGAACAGGCATTGTGAACAGGAAAGAGAGAGAGAGAGAGAGAGAGAGAGAGAGAGAGAGAGAGAGAAGTCACGAAGCAATGAACA